CCGGGGTTAATCCGCTGGCGCGTTTCTCCGAGCCAGCACAGGGCTAATTATTTTAGCGCTGCGCCGGTAAGGAGATCTCTCCCCCACATCTCCGCCTGCAGCCCACTCTTCATCTCTGGACCCCATTTCGGGAATCATCTTTTCCTCTCGGAACCCCCCCGTTTCATTCACTCCGTCCTTCCGTCTCTGGCTCCCTTTATCTCTCCCTCTTCTCGCCGTCCGTGGAGCCTGCACTGCATTACTTCCCCTCTGAAAAGGCCTAGACACAATCCAATCCACTCTTTAAGCCTCTCTTATCTGACTGCCAGGCCTACAGCTCAATGCTCTGCTTCACACTCCTCCGTCCTTCCTTGTCTTGACTCTTCTCTTACTCAAACTCTGACGCAGACTTTTCTTTCCCCCTCCCTCCCTTCGTTTTTTTTTTTTTTTTTTTTTTTTTTGCCCGTGATTGACGTGAACCATCTCGCTCGCCCTTCAAATGCACCCGAGGCGCATCGCCTCACCGGCCCCCCCGTCTTCCCTCCACCTCGCGGCCTGCCGCCGTCTCGGTTTTTTCTGCTGGTCCGATCGCCCAAAACGCTCTCCTCTGACCCCCCTGCCGGCGGAGGAAAGTCTGCACTGAAGACGCCCAAAAAGAAACTCGTAATCCAGCTAAACTCAGCCCGTTTCTGTGTATATGTGTTTCCAGTTAGAGAGTTTCGAAGACGCAAAGCAACAAGCAGGCGGCGGATTGCCTCCTAAAGTAAAGCTTGCGATGGCTTAAATATGTAAATATGTTTACCTGTGGCAGGGAGGGAATGTAACGGTACTCGTTACGTTCCCGCCCCCGCCTGTTATGGACGGTGCTGTGTGGCTGTCTCTGGGGTGCACCGCATCCCAAAAGGGAGGAAAACTGAGGTTGGCGTGGAAGGAAAGGAGGGAGTCGTGCGAGGGGTTTGGTAAGCCGTAGATTCAGCACGACGTGGCCGGGGAGGAGTAGAAGAAGAAAGAGGGGTGGGAAAAAAAAACAAGGGGGAAGGCGCTCGCTGTGGGAGAAAGCTTTGGAGGAAGAGACTTATCTGGCGTGCTAAGCCCAGCCAAAGATCCATGTGCAGCGCCTCAGATTCGCTCTCCCCCCGAGAGCCCTCTCTCAAAGGTGTGCCTTCCCCGGCCCTGAGCCAAAGACGGACCGCCATCTGCCAGCTCGGAATTCGGGGTGGATAGTGAAGACTTGAATGTTCCTTAAGAGTTCCTAACCGGATTTGAGGTGCTAAAATTCACATCTCTGTAACCGGGCGTCTGTTTTTAGCCGCTGTTTAACTGTCCAGCCGGATGGATAAGTTAGAATGTTTTCTTCTTTTCCAGCAAAGCCACACAGACACCCGACATAGAGAGAAAAACAACTTTTACAAACGTTCTGTTCCTATGTTTTATGAGCTGTATTAGACCGAGTTGCATATTAACTGTCCTTCACCTGAAATAACTGGAGCTTCTTCCGTTTTTTTTTTTCTTTTTTGGACATTTATTTTGATGCTTGTGATCAAAGCGCTAACATCTGTATTTGTAATATGTTTGTAATATATGAGGACGTAAATAAAAACAGCTGTTGTCACAGAAGGCAAAGTAAACCCAGCTGGAAACGTCTGGAGCCTCTTTCTCTCATATCTGACTGTTGAATCTTGTATATTTTGCCAATACATCCTGCCCAGAAAGTTTAAAATGATTAAAGTCCACTGATTGGCTTGTGATGGCTCAGTAATACTCCAGATAAAAGGAAGCTAACCTTATTACCTTAGAAAAATAAGAACATCTTAAAGGGATCTGGAGGCCTTAATTGCTCAACAGCGAAGGACGGCTGATTTTTCTTTTAAACACAGGGAGAAACTCGGTTTTGGATTAAATCAAAACTTGAGAACCCCCCCTCGTCTTGCCCTTTGCTACCGAACCACCAAAGGATCTTTGAACTGGGAATAAACGTTTGGCAGCCACTTAGAAGCTTTTCACATTTTACACGGCGACTAAATGAGGTGTAATTTTCATAAAGGCTTAATTTTTTCTGACTTAATGAGCAGGTGGGGTTCACTGAGCATACACGACCTTTTCAGAAACACTCTGCTTCACATTCAGGAAATGTGGTCCCAGTCTAAGTGATGCGCACACACCTGCTCAGCACACGCTCTAAATGACCAGCTGCCCGAGGAACAGAGATGTACAAAGTACTGGAGTAGAGGACAAGTACTTTATAAAAAAATTTACTTGAGTAAAAGTAGAAGTATTCTACTTTCTACTATTCAACACCATACTAAAGTGGAAGTACAGAAGTACTCAATTTTTTGTACTTAAGTATTGCAAGTAGAAGTATTTCAAAAATTGCTCCTCAAGTATCGAAAGTACAAGTATAAGTAAAAGTACAAGTACTGTGTATATTAAAAAAAGGCAGTCAAAAGTGTGATAGACATTGTTTATATTATTTCAAACGTGTGAAAGACACACTACCTGGCTGAAGCAGCAATACAACTATAAAATACCATACAGGTGTTTACAAATAACATAAAACTACATATGCATTAGCAATAGACAGCGCTTCATCTACTTTATGCTATCATACAGCTAGCCAGCTAGGTTAGCTTTAGCTAACGTTAGCTGCTACGTCCTGAGTGAACAGGGAGAACTGAACTAGCGCTTATTTACTAGCTTATATGTCATTGTATCTTTTAACTTACCTTGATACGCTTCTTCAGATTAGATGAGGAATTTTTGAAAGCCATGATTTCGCAATCTTTCGGGAGGCATTTTTTTAATAGGCTATACTTGATCCCTCAAATCGCGCAATGATGAGCCAGCTTCACAAAACGTGACAGAGCTATCTATCATTACGTTTACATATCAGTAACGAGTAACGAGTAAAAGTATTCAATTAATCAAAAATATGTAGTGGAATAAAAGTAAAAGTAGGGGGAAAAATACTCCAATAAAGTACAGATACTGCATTTTGGTACTTCAGTACAGTACTTAATTGGTTCTACTTTGTTACTGAACATCTCTGCGGAGGAATACTTCTCCAACGCTGCTCTCCAACATGGTCACCCCCCCTTTTTTATATTAAGTTGGGTTTGAATGTGCTTTGCTTTGGATTTTGCACACGTGGCATCTCTGTGTGATGAAAGAGTTAAAGACACTGCACAAATGAAGCCAAAGTTAGTCCAAAATTTCAATTAAAAGAAAAATCTTTGGCTTTTTTGTGGTTGACACTTCTTTCAAAACTTCTGTCAGATGAAACTGAAGTTTACTTCTTCTCGTGGAGTCCATAATCTTTGCACAATTCAGGATTTCACATTTTAGTGTTTTCTTTCTCTTCACCAGCGTAAATAAACATATCATAAAGTTGTCTTGTTTAAAGATGATAAAGTTAGGGCTGGAAATATAGCTTAATATGGCCGAGTTATTGCTTCAATTTTTTCGTCAGTTGTCTAAAAATGAGAGGATTTTTAGGGAAAACCTTATTAGCGTTTAGAAGCGATTGATCAGACAATTGAAGTGCAGAACAGCAGGAGGAAACCCAGAAACTGGGCGCCTTCATCTGGGACGCCAAAAGACAATCGAACCACTCCATCCCTCCGAACCGGTGCTTTTTTTTGCCCGTTAGATTTGATAAATGGCTCCTCCGTGACACAAACGCCTCGGACTGCATTCCCCCCCCGCGTTTATTTTTTTGTGTCGAGTAGCACATCAAAAAATCATAAAAGCCAGTCTCTGAAAATAAATCAACAGATTAAGCTTCGGTGGCAGCCGGCGCAGCTCTTGAGGCTCGGCGCCAAGGTCAATAATGTGATGAGGGGCGGCCCCCCTTCCCTCAGCCAGAGTTTTACAGCCAATAATAATACTTAATCCCAAGTGATATGTGACAGTCTTTTGGGGAGGGGGTGGTGGGGCACACATATAAGCATGTAGCTACTGTGGGATTAGGCCCAATGCATGCCAGGGAGCGCACAGCTATGGGCCCTAATGGTAACGGGCAGCTCGTGAGTGGTGTGTGTGTGTGTGTGTGGTGTGTGTGTGTGTGTGTGTGTGGAGTGTGTGTGTGGTGTGGGTCTAATGTGGGCTGGCCCCCCTACCTTCTGCTGGGTCAGCCCGGTGGTCACATCCTGCCGTATGTTCCACATACGCCGGGCCGTCAGCTTAATAGTAGCGTTGTCATTTCTGAACACGGACCTCCATCACTATCTCCGTGGAGGGCAGAGGTCAGAGGTCAAAGCACTCTTCCGGCTTTTGATTCTGCCCCCCCTGTCCCTCCCCACCACCCCAGAGTTTGTGTGGATCTCTCATTATCGTGCTGATTGTCAGTACAGAGCTCCGCGTGGATAGCAAAGTTTCATTTGTAGCGCTGACAGCTCTGATTGATGGGCTGCTGTTCTCCAAAGGGACGGCGCCTGTGTGTGTGTGTGTGCGGGGGGGGGGGGGC